TATTCAGAACAAATAAATTTTTTGCTTATTCTAAAAAAAAGTTAATATAATAAGTAAATTCAAATAGTTTAATTAATTATTCAGGTATCTGTAATCACATTCTATATATTTATGAAGCACATAATGTGCATCATTACACCTTTTAATATTTATATTTGCTAATTATAATGATATAGACCATCAATTCTACTAATTTCACATTGATACAAGAAAGCTTTCGATGATTCTGACAATAGATCATAGAAACAATAATACAGGATTTGAAGTGGAGTGGAAAATAAGCGATGATCTGTGGTATGCTTAATAATTATTGAATTAGAGAATGTTGAGTCAGACATAACTGGGTTCAATTTAGAGGTATTCTTATTGGTCATGAGGAATAATAAAAAAAGGTGTAATTCAAAGGTCTTTCAGTTAAAGCTTAAATCTTTAAATAAAAGAGAAATCATCGAAGAAAAAGAAAAGTTAATGAATAAATTAGAATCAGAGAAAAAATTTATTGATGCAATAATCAATAATAATAATGAAAATAATTATTGCTTAATGATCTAACTCGAAGGAGGAAAAAAATGATAGTTCTAAAGTGCAAAAAAAATAAAATATTTTATCACTACGACTCGATCAAACAAGTAATTTAAATTAAAAAAATTAAAATTATTGTCATAAAAGAAAGATGAAACTAAAAATGAAACTAAGTAAACACATACGATCAAACCATCTGAAGTATAATAAAAAAATAAAAGTTACAGAAAAAAAATACACACAAGAATTATAAAAAAAAATATTTCAATATTAGACCGGTCAAATAGATTTTCTTAACCGTCAAAAATTGAAAAAAAATTTTTTAATAAATATAAAAAAGAAGCTAGTTAAAAACAGGCCTGAATGAATAGACATATTTAACAAAAGCTTTCAATCTAATTGTTCATCAACCTCAACCATGTTTTATAGAACTTTTAGACAAGGTATTTAAATCACTTGAAATTACTTTTCTTTCTGAGAAAAGCTTAATTTCAATTATCAAATAAGATGAGAGGTTGATATTTAGGAACACATTAAAATGAAATCTTGAAAAAAAGTCACACATTTATTTCAGATCCTAAAACTGGGTCAGATAATGATCTTTACAACATTGTTTACCTTAATCAGATTAGATAGCCTATCTTCTGAAGGTATATTAAAATGTTTTTCCATATAAAAGACTTTTGAATCGTAAAGCAAAGTGTGGTATTTTGCTTCCTAGATGTAGAAATGCTAATGGAATTATTGATACAAGGATCGTTAATTCAAACATTGTTATTGTGAATGATGGATTGATAAAGTAGATATTAAAAGCAGTTTTGCTCATATAAAAAATTATATTTACCGTATGAATTAAAAGGATGTCGTGATGGATTTTTTCTGAAAATGATTCATCGAGTTATGTAACAATATGGTTTGTACAGTTACATTCATTAAAGTAAAAGGGAAGGAGAAACCTTTTGCAGCATAGATCTGATACGGTCAGTATTTTTTTCAATTAAATTATTTTTTTATTTCTGATAATTAATGATATTATTATTAATAATGTTATTATTCTAGCAAATTAAATACATTTTTTTTTTTTATTTTTTAGATTCTTTTTCGAGAGAATTAATATATTTTGAAATTTCATATTCTTTTGGTTGCTCATTTTTTGATTGTGACTCATTTAATGACTCATTTTGTGACACGTATTCACTTAAATATTTTAAATTAAAATATTATGCTAATGATTTACTTGCCTTTAGGTAGATAATGGGTAATTATTATTATCAAGATGAAGTTTAGGGTAAACGTTTATTTTGTGAATTTTATTCGTATATATAATAAAAGATGAGAGTTAACATACTGTACATTACGTATGAAATGCCAATACAAGTAAATGAATCTAAGATCATGAATAACCATTGAAATTATTTATAGGTGTTTTATTTTTAAAATGACAATCAACTCAAATATAATATTAATATACTTCTAGAGATTGTTTTTTGATAAATTTAACGAACTAACGCATAAAAAAAAAATAAATAAATGGGAGGTTTAATAGCAAACCTTCCAAATATGTACGCCTAGTTTAAACAAAAATTATAGACATAGCGCAGTAAGCAGGTCAGGTGTTCACTGGTTACGTAAATGTCACAAAATTCATAAAAATAATTTTCTCATAATGTCAATGAGCAACCCGAAAGAAAATATTGAAACTAGTCTAGTTAAGATAAGGTTACTTGTATTTGATAGTAATGAAAGTATATAAGAAGAGAGTGCAGCAGAATCAAGAGAAATTATAGTTTTTAGTGACGTTTCACTTGAATGATGATTCGTGGTGATTTACATTACAGTATGTCCATTTAATTTGGGGAATTTTTATTGCTTACGTTTTTTATTGGAAATTGGAGCAACCAATTTTTTGTTCTTTTCGCACTGATAATAATAGTAACAGCACTGATATCGCAGTCGCACACGAAACCTAGACCTGGGTGATTGTGAAAATCTGTAGGAGAATACTATTTTTCTACACACAAACGCGATTTAGATATTTCCTTGTCAGCAGTCTGCGTAATAAACAAATTCCAAACACAGCACAAAACCAAACATAACTCATGATAACGTTACCAAATATTAATCAAATTTTGAGATTTCTTTTGTAACTGTATCGCTCAATCGCAAATCAATTTTCTTCTGGTATACAACATAGCAGAATAATGGTCCTCAACCAAATAACTATCCTTGCGAGCCTATTCTATAAAGGCATTTCAGAAGGTGTCCAAATTATTTCAACATATATTTATAGTTGTTACAGCAACGTGTTTCGGTTTTTTTTTTTTTGGTGTACATTGCTCCATTCGTTGCTGCTACACACTAATATATTATCAGTATTTTCATTATTTTTTTTTTTTTTTTACATTCTTCGTGATAAGGACATCGAAATTATTTCTCATTACGCTAATGAAATAATTTTTTTTTTTAATTATCAATATTCATATTTTTAGAAAATTCTTTGTTTGCTGCTGCTACTAATTTTGAGTAATATTTACATCAAATGCATGATTTTGATTTATCGGCAAAAATTTAGCCGCCAAAAATCAATAAAGAACATCTCGGCATCGGATTTTCTTCGGCACGATTCTGTGTCACCTCATGATGTAGGAATGCATCATTTTTTTTTTTTTTTTTGATATAAAGATCTAATTTGCACTTTCAACTTTAAATATTTAAAATACAAACAGAAAAAGAAATCAAATTTACATAATTTCATTTTCAAAAAAACAAAGTATGCCCCTTCATAAATTATTAGAAAATTTTGCGATTCATGATTACCTATCGTTGACAGGTATCATATTAGCGATATACGTGGCGCAGTATTATTACACGTATTTCACTCGCGTTAATCCTTTACTTGGTCCATTCCTATTCCCATTATTTGGAAATCTACCTCAATTCCTACTCATTAATGGCGGAAATTTAAAAGCATTTTCGGAAAGTAATCAAAAAACTTATGGTGACATTTACGAAGTTCACTTGGGAGTTCGACGTATAATCCTCAGCCGTACAGAATACGTTGAGAAGCTATTGATGCCTTCAACGAAGAGCCAATACATGATGAGATTTCCTTACAGCAAAGGATTAGCAGAATTGGGATGATTGGGAAAGGAATACTGGCGAAACATGATTTGAAATCATGGAGGTATAATCGTCCAATACTTTACACAAGCAATTTTGGCACCAAAATTCACTCAAAAAGCTATTGGTTGGACGAATGAACTTTTCAATGAATTGGAAAGTTATTGGAACAAGTTATATCTAAAAGATGAAATTGTTAAAGAAAATAAGAATAAATTGGATTTCTCTGCATGGTTAAACAGATACACAAATGATATGATTATCGCATTAACAACTGGCGAAAGATCTTATACAATGGCAGCATACTTTAATACTCAAAGTGACGAAAAAGCCACGCATCCAAAAGCGATCGTCGAGGATTCCGAGAACTTCGTTCGAGCATTTCGTAAACGCATAGTGGGAGCGCCGATGTTCATCTTTATCCCACCTTTCATCAGACATTACTTTCCATTTATCAAGAGTAGATCGGACGATTTGCTTAAAAATATTGGATTAATCTATCAGAGGTTAGAGAACATTATTAAGAGGCGCAGACAAGAAATTGAAAATACTTCGCAGGATAAACCTTTATCAAATGATATGCTGACCTCGTTGATCACGGCAAGTACACCTCGCGACATTAATTATATCAAAACTGTCGAAGGCGAAGCTATGAACAGACCTATACCGATCTTGAAATTCGTGGTATTTTATTTGACGCATTTATTGGTGGTACTGATACAGTAAGTATAAGAATATTTCCAAATATTTTGTTACGATTAAAAAATCTGTATTAACATTTTATTCATTTATTTTCAAATATAGACCGCGAATATGATTACATTTATTATCTATCATATCGCTCATAATTTAGAAGTAAAGAAAAAGTTGCTAGAAGAAATTGATGGAATATTCCAGGGTGATAAAACGCGTCCAATAACGGAAGACGACTTACACAAACTTAAATATTGTGAAGCGATCATAAAAGAAGTAGATCGCGTTCTACCGGTTGCAAACTTGATGGTGAGATGTAGTCAAGAACCTGATGAAATAGCGGGTTATAAATGGCCAGCTGGTACAATGTTTCATGTGAACGCCGTTTCGATTCATAAACACAAAGATTATTGGGAAGAGCCCGAAAAATTTAATCCTGATAGGTGGATGATTAAAAGTTTCGAACCTGAGAAATATTCTTTCATCATGTTTGGTGGCGGGTTAAGGATCTGTCCGGAAAGAAAGTTGGCCATGATCGAATTAATTTTTTTGATGGCTTTGTTATATGAAATTGATTTGGTGGATATGCAATCTCCTTTAAAAACTGTATCAACCGCTTTAACCACTTGTCCCGAATTGTTCGTTAAGGTTAGACCAAGAAATTAAGAAAATAAATATGCAAACCAACCATTGCTTTGATTTACTCCACCTTTATAATAATCATTTATCTCATTTTATTTTTTATCAACAAATTATTAATTAAATCAATTTATTTTAAATATTTTATATAAATAAAATAATATAAAATACTTATATTCTATATATTTTCGGGAGACAAATGAAAGCAGATACTTTGCTCGCGTCCCAAAAGCCTTAAAATTGATATGACAGATGTAATGTTTTGTCTGATTACATAAAAGTAAATTAAAAATCGTTTTTTAACTTTTTCATATTCTACACTTCCTTTCGATTTCTGGCCCTTTGAAGAAACGGAAAAATCCAAGTTATACGACGTCTACCATAGACCCGTCATATCCTAGATTATTCCAGGGATGACCCCCTTGCAGACGATGCGGCACTTGCCCATTACAGGCCAGCCCCCTAATACAAGTTCCGAACTCAATCGGTTCTGTGTAACGTAGTCACTTACGATTTTATTATAGATTTTAACGTTGTTTCATCTTTTTTAAATTACGGAAAAATACTGGATCGATCATTTTTTAATCGACGGAGCAAAAGATTTGTTTACCATTTAACGTGATATTATTTAAATTTATCGTTCAGCCAAAAAGACAAATATTGCGATAAATTTGCAGGCATTTTACAAAAAAATATTAAGTTCGCATGTTCGTCCGACAAAGGGAAAATGATCGTCAAAAAATCTTCAATAGTAAATTTTATTTTAATACACCAAATTAAAACTATCGATTCCAGTTGTAAACATATCATCGAGTACCGTAACATTAGGATAATCAGGACAATCTGCAGCAAACTATTATCTTTATGAATTGATGTAGGATAGCGTTGACAATGAAAAGTGTCGCAAATAGAATGAGTACCAAAAAAAAATTTGTATCTCGAAGAGGAAAAGTTTCTTTTTAGTTTTAAAAAACTGTATAATCTCATGGGTTTTAAAAATGGTTTTAAATTCTACAAAGCAATACTAGGTAATGATTATCGCTTTTAAAAAAATTAGGAAAATTTCCTTAGAATGCCAAATAAGTAACTATTATATTTTTTAGGCAAACTATTATAAAAAAATCCAATTATTTACTATAGAACATGAAATATTCTTGCGGAAGATCGCGATGATTTTAAAAGAATTTGTGAATCAAAATAAAGATTTTATTTTTTTTTTTAAAAAAAAAAAATTTACCATCCACTTGATGAGTCAACGAGGATTGATCTTACTTTGAGAAACTCTTACTAATAAGATCTTTCGTTTTGTATGCAAATAAAATCATAATTACATGATTATAGAATGGAGGATAATCAATTAGGTGGTTTATAATAAGATTTGCAGCATTGTTATTAAGATCATATTAAATTCCTATCTATAAAAAGTAAAAAAGACATTATCTACTGTTCTAACTTTAGATAATGCAGCAGGTTTCTTTCCTGACGAACCCCTTCATTTTCAAAATTAAAATAAGTTCCAACATCCATAAATTTATTGAAATAATCCAATCACAACTAAAATTATATTTTGCATCTACGCTAGTTATTGCGGTGTTGTTAACTCTGTTGTAATTTTTTTACAATTATATAGAAAGGTAAATGGATAATCTGCATTTGAAGTTTCTCCAACCAATCTTCTGAGGCGCCGTATATGTCGTCAACCATCAGAGAAACCTTTAAATGGGAAGAGACATTTCCGTTGATAGAAT